ACAATTCAGCAGCCTTTAAATATCTCACAAAGCAGCAGGCAGTCCTGTCTGCAGTATTCATAGCAGCTTCACATGCTAAAGGCACTTCTGTGCTGCCAAGAAAATGAGGGGGAAAGAAAAAACACTTTGAAGCCAGACACAGGCCTGAACAGAAGTGCTCCAAAGCTATCCAGAAAAGTGTTTGCAAACAGAAGCGAGAAAAGACAGAGGAGCCACTGTTTGTTAAGTACACTAACGTAACTAGACCATAAATAAATGGAAGTCAAGGCAGGGCAAGAAGTGCTGTCACCTGCAGAAGAAGGAAGGCTATTGTCACATTTGTTCTTTGCTTGGGGCGAAGGCTCCAAAGCTCCCGAAAGAGGTAGCTTGAGTCATGGGCAATGAGTGGTTAGTAGGGACTTTGTACCAAAGGTTTATCTGGCATGTTAATAGGCATGTGGGTTTCATACTGCTGCCAACAGCGAGAGGCCAACAGCTTACCTGCTACAATGTCCGATCTCTGCACTATGGCACAGCTGTAGAGTGCTCATCGTCCAGGTTGACAGAATTCATTTTTCACATCAAAAGAGGGTCTGGTTAGAGGCAGGGCGATTTCAGAAGCTGCTAACAGTGCTGTTATGTGAAGCTGGTATTTGAATCAACAACTACAGAATGATCAGCTGGAGCCCTGCAAAAGCTCTGCTGCTGTATGCATCGCATCTGAACCACAAAAAAAGTCCACTTGCTGAAGCCACAAGTGACCTTGAAACATGCTCAGCTGACAACATGCTGTGCAAGCGCTCCCACTCCAAAATTAGGGCTGTCGCAGCACGTTCGGCCATCTCACTGTCTCCTCAGTAATGCTTGTAGTAGCTCAGTCAAAGCCTGCTCAGTAGCCAGAAATGCCAAGGGTAAGGGAACACCCTAAGGTCTGACCAACTGTGAATTTTACTGCCTGCTTCTACAGCTACCCCGAGGAGCCCAGGTTTGGCGGAGCAGCAATACAGTAATCACAGTGACACTCAGTTATCTGGGTTGCATATTTGGTGCAAACACTCCCAAGAATGTCACACAGTGTAGCCTTGGGGAACAGAAGTGCAAGGGGAGGGCTCCTAACAGAAGCCCTACAGCAGTGCCCTGACTGTTGCGGTATTTTTTTTAGCACTGGTTAGTCTCCTCATCTTGCAGTTGAGGCTGGATTACTCTGTGGAGCAGAGTCCCTCCAGGGTCTGAGTTTATGGCTCGAGATGGTTCCCGTGTCCAGGTTACAGGCCAGCGGCAAGTCACACCTGAACCCAGGTCTCCCAGCCCCCTTTTCAGAGGCCTTCCTCGCCCAGAGAAATGAGGCTTCCAGGAGCAAGTGTCAGTGGCGTTTTGGGATTTGTGCACAGCGCAGAGCAGGTGTGCATGACAGCCACCAGAGAGCTATAAAGCAGTGGGACACTCAGCGTCTTGTTAAACCCATGGAGGGAAGAGCAGACATTAAACCAAGCTCCCCTTTGAAACAAGTAACTCTTAGAAAGCCTCCCTCCACCTCCTGGGGCCAGGGAGAGCTTTCCTGTCTGTAAGGTGAGGAGAACACGTGGCAGCTGGGTAGCCTGTGCACCTTCTGAAAGCACAAATGGATGTGAGCACTTACAGTAGTTTCCCCAGCACTTTCTCAGCAAGCATACAGAAAACAGGGCTATTGGAGAGCTGCTGAGGAGCTTTGCAACTTCGTTTGGAGCCCAGGAAAAGGTTGGGCTGTAGGATGTGTGCCCAGGTCACAGGAAAATGAGATGCCCAGCCAGTAACGCAGGGCTGGGGAGGAAAACTTCCCCTCCATGTACTCTGACATTTGGGAGATGAGTGTTGGTTGATTGTACTTTCAGGTCTTTTTTTGAAGAGCAGCTCAGCAAAGTACGTTCACAGGCATTTTCAGTCTCTTACCCAAGCTGGCCATTTCTAAAGCAACACTCAAGGAAGAACCATTTGCACAACCAGTAGCGGCATTTTCAGAGGTAGTTGTAACAAGACAGATGAGCGACCAAAAATTTCCATGCGCAGAGGAGATGGGAGTTGAGTCAGCTACCACATTTGAGCCACCTGTGAATCCTGTCTCGTCTACTGTGAAAAAGGCAAGTCTGTCTGGCAGATCTGAGCCCCCGTGCAAGTTCCCAGAGCAGGAACTATTCGCTTCCTGGAGGAATGGCCAGGAACACTGAGAACCAACAAATAAACAAAACAACAACAAAAGCAGTTTTCCAAGGTCTGATAATCTTTTTTTAAACTGGAACCAGCCAGCCAATCCCCAAGACTATACCTTGTTAAATGTAAGATTTTATTATCAGCCTGTTCTCAGAATTTTATTTTTCCCTACTGAATGTGAGACTTAACTAAAATAAAAATTAAAAAAAAAAAAAAAGCAGCCCTGGCTGTGAAAATCCACCCATCCTTGGCAATAACAGGACTACAGAGATGCTTGAAGTGCTGCACGCCCAGGAGATACCAAAACTGGGCTCCTAGTACACAACGGACAAAAACGGTAATGTTTTTCTCTCCACTCTTAAGGTTGTTACCTAGATGCTGCCTTAATTCTCGTGTGAAAATGTGCTAAATGAGCATTTTAAAAGTGTCATCCCCTTCCTGCTGTTTTGATATTGCACTGACACCTGATATGAATGGTTTTCACTTCCACTTGAGGAACGTATGTGAAAGTGTTTGTCATTACAGCGGTCTAAGAGATTACGAGACCCTGGCCACATACAATCAGATAGATACAGAACTAAAATGGGTTCACGTCTGTATTCAGGTGCAACAAAGACTATTAATGCTCATGGCAGATGCTTGATATTTTATTTGAATAATTGACATTATTTAAAATAAAATTCAATTTACTACAGAATGCTGGCAAAATTTGTTTTAAAGTAAATGTGATCAAAATGCCCGTTTATTTGATTGCAAAAGATTAACGGGCTGGGAATCAGTCCGAGATCCCCTTCACACCTGGCCTGTTGACGTTTCAGAAGCTGTCCTCCAGCCACGCGCGGCCAACCCGAACAGCCTGGGGCAGCAGCAGAACAACCCTTGTACCAGGTTTTGCTGCACCTCTGGCAGAAGCCGGCGGTCTCCCCCCCCCGGAGAGCTGCCCAGCCACACGCCGTGCAGAAAAGCTGCTGACGCAGGCTCTGTGGTCGGCAAGCCGTGCTGCCCAGGGCAGCTCCGGCAGAGCCAAGTCGCTGCAGGAGCCATGAGGCCGGCCGAAGAAAGCCTTGGGGCACGCTGCAGCCCTGGGGCATGGGGGCATCTGCAGCTCCCACTGCCCGACAGACTGTAGGATCCCAGAAAGAAGCCACCCTCAAAACAAGGCAGCGACCACAGCGGCACCTCTCATCCCACCAGGTCTCCTGCCACGTGCAGGCAGAGCGGGAGCCCTCGGCTGCCGTGTGGGTGACTGACGGCTCTTCAGTGTCACAGCCCTTCTGCTGCTGCTGTCCAGGAGCCATCAGGAGGCAGCTCGGGGGGTCTCTGGCTCAAAGCGCAACCGCCAATTTTGGTTCTGCCTCTACACTTCTCCTCACAAGCCTTTCCACCGAGGCACCCAGACCTCAGTATGTGGCAGCAGCTAGCCCAAGAAGGCAGAACAACCTCTGACAAAGTTAAAACAGTGCCAAGTGCCGGGTACGTAAATCAATCTGACCTGAGAACCTAAGGAAAAGCCCTAAGGTCTGAAGTGTGACTGGGGACACAGTCATCATCTCGCCAGTTAGCACAGGGCAGAGCCCAGCCTCGCACCAGCCATCAGCAGGACCTCCCCACCAGGCTGAGCTTTGTTTGTAACGTGACAGCAGAGAATGACTACCAGAGCCCCTAGTGACACACCGCGCCCAAAGCAACATTAAAATCTCATCACATGGTGTCACTTGTTACAAGTTTCTTCAGAAGTGCCTCTCCCTAGGCCACCAGGTTAATCCCCACTCCATGGTCTTTCCTTCTGTCAGAAGCCACCCCAGAAACACGCTTCCAGCCTTCAGCCACCCAGTGATGTAAATCCAGAAACCTCACTGCCAAAGCAAGAGCAACGTCACCAGGGAAGACACAGACGAGTAGGTCTCTTTGGAAGGAGGAGACCAGCTTCACAGGTATCACTTCCCATCTTCACCTCTCTGCTCTCACCTCCACAACAGTCTCCATAAGCAGAGTGATTACTGCAGTGGGGTGTGCTGGTTTTGGCTGGGGTAGAGTTAATTTTCTCCATAGTAGCTAGTGTGGGGCTCTGTTTTGGATTTGTGCTGGAAACAGTGTTGACAGTACAGGGATGTTTTTGTTATTGCTGAGCAGTGCTTACACAGAGCCAAGGCCTTTTCTGCTCCTCACCCCACCCCACCAGTGAGCAGGCTGGGGGTGCACAAGAAGCTGGGAGGGGACACAGGGGGGGACAGCTGACCCAAACTGGCCAAAGGGATATTTCATACCATGTGATGTCATGCTCAGCACATAAAGCTGGGGGAAGAAGAAGAAAGGGGGGGACGTTCACAGTGACGGTGTTTGTCTTCCCAAGTAACCGTTA